TGCTGGAGGAGATACACGTTATTAATAAGACAAAACAAAATACATATAATAAACTTCGTTTTCTAACGATTTGAATACATGTGTTTTTGTTTTAATACTAGGATGTAAAATGAACTTCGTGTGTTTTTAATAGAGAAAGACTATAGTAATATATTTTACTCTGATTAATTTCACTTCGGATATTCCACAAGTAACGAGATTTTCAAGAAAAAAGTATAGAAACAAGTTATTCTAGATTTTATTTCATTATATGTTCAAAGTCGTTGCCCTGATTATTTACCTACAACTGCATCAGTTCTAGCCACTTATCGAAAATTTATTTTCTATACTTATCTTTGCTAATCGAGTTCATGATCTTGAGTTTGATTCAGCACAAAGATAGTGAGCTTCTTTGATTGGTTAGGTTCTGTTTGATTAAATCTAACAAGCAAAAAGAATTCATATGATATCAGGTTGGAAGAATTCAATAGTTGCCAATAATATTGGTATCTTCCGATTCGAGATTTTGTGAGACATCTTTAAACGCATGCGATTTGGCCTAGTGGTATTGATGTTTTGTGACATACGTCTCAGATACTGATCTTTTTGTTCAGATTCTGTCAGTGAGAGGAATTTCGGATAATTACCGATGTAGTAGTAGTAGTCGACGGTTTGTACTTGTTCAATATGATGCATCAACACAAAATCAGTCGTTTGGAAAACGATGCAAAGCCAAAGTTTTGGGAACAACGTGACTGTGTCAAACAACAGCTAGCCGAGTTCCACTAATTGATGTTCCGGCAGTATTAATAATAGTTCGAACAGATGAAATTTATCGATTACTTCTCGACTTTTATTGAAAATTACGAGTTATATATGAGTTTCATGATTTATACTCAATTCAGATACTTTTCGACAGTCGTATTAACTAATGACAATCATCAGTTTAATATATAATAAATCTTATGCACGTGATAATGACAATCATGAAGATTTCCAACTAACATTAGATAAATAAAATGGAATATTGTATGATATTTGTCAGAGACAATGCTCCAACTAGTATACTATAATGGGAAAAAGTTACCGAGAAATATACAATAAGGAAAAATTTGTATAGAATTTTAAATATATTAGTACCATTTATTGTTTTATTGGTTTTTTGTTTATGATCTCGAACTTGATGTTGCATATTTCCTACAAAACTTTGATTTTGATTGCTTGACAAAGATTAAAAGAATATTTTCTTTTTTTTCATTCTTGAAGACAATAGAAGCAAGCCTTACGGTTCGTTATCTTATCCTTGATTCTAAGAATATCTATAAAAACGGCAAAACATGAAAAGAAATTTTAGAGGTTAATACATGCAAACCATCATGTAAACATGATTTAATTCTATTGTTTTAACCTTATCATTTCATTAGTTTGGTATCAATGTCAAGGATCAAGAAATATTATACCAAAGGAGAAATGAAAAAAGAAAACATCATTCGAAAGCTAACGACTCGATTAGATTATTGTTGATCGATTGCTTTTTTCTTTTTACTTTTACTAACTACTATGGCTCTAATGTTTCTTATATTTTTTGTTTTGATGAATTTATCGGTTCTTGTTGCACTAAAACCGAAAAATTTCTCAAAAACCAAAACAACTACAACATTCGTTCTGTTTGAGGACTTGCTCAAAAAGAATGAGTTTTGTATCATCAAGAATACAACTGACATCAGTTGGTATAAAATATGCTGAATTTTTTCTCTGTGTCACACATATTTATTCTTACAACGAACAGGTTGTCGTCGAACCGAATCGTCTAATCTTCAAAGATCTCAATTCAACAATTGAGTACTACACTAGTGAGCACAATATTCATCTTCTTAATAAACAATTGAACTTTGTTTCTTTTGTAATTTTCAATTAAACACAATAAAACCAAGTATGAACAACGGTTATTTATGAAAACATGAGAATAGTACGATCAGAATACCTTTGATCTTGGTTTCTTTCTCTTGCATAGAAATGCCGATCAGGTTTCAGTCAAATATGTGATTGAACGTGGAAGAAATGTTGTTTTTTATTGAAAGTGAGTAAATTCATTATATTTTCGATTCCATTCATGTCTCCTCTTTTGGAATAGACATTATTCCTTAAAAAAGGGTTAAATTAGAAAAAATTTCTGCATTTTCATTGTTAGAATTTTAAGTTGACATATAGAATGTCAAATTGGAATCAAAATGAACAATTGAAGAGTGATAATAATCTAAAAATGATGTGATTTTATGAAAACTCATCTAACATACTTGAAATTCCGATTTAAAATCATTATTGATGAGTAGCTGATTTAGGTTTTAATTAAAATCTTTTGTTTTTATTTGCAATCAAACACTTGGTTTCGAAGCGATTTTCAAAACAATAGTGTGGAAGACTCAATTCAGAACATATCACATGAAATATCAATGTAATATTCATGGCTATCACATCACTCGTAATAAAAAACTTACAGCTATTGTTCCTGTATCTCCTGGTGATCATTTGGTAAAAATAGAAAAAGTGGCAGATGTTCCTTTGATTCTTTCTATAATTTCTATTACTGTTGATGCATCAAATGTTTAACAAATTGTTTACAATGATTAGAATGTTTTTTTTCTTGAGTATTTATATTCTAACATTATAATAGTATCTCATATATTCTACTTGATTTCCAATCTTTTATTGCTTATCACTGCTCCTTCTGCCACCTTATTTCAATAAAACTTAAGTGCTTCGATTCATTGATAATGTTTCATATGAATACATTGAATTGTGCGTAGTTTTTAGAATAAAAACAAAACTTTGTCAAGTTTGAGTTAGTCCACAAAAAATACTGCAAATATCAAGAAAAGTTTCACATAATTAAATCGTACACAAAAAGTGTACGATTGAAGACACTCATTTCGGATTTTAACCTTCCTATTCATACTAATCATGCCAAATAAAATTAGTTTTATGCCTTATTGAATACAAAAAAATTGAGATTGAAATAAAAACATTTCAAAGTAACTGATTTAGTGGCTAATATCGTCAATGTCCACAATACTAGATATTGAATAACTAATTGAACCATATGAAAGAATACAAGTCAATGTTGAAAATTTATTATAAGAAGTATGCTAATGCCATTAGCCGGAATTGATTTCAGTGAACGGTTGACTTTTTTTTTAACTATTTTAATTAAACAAGAACAAACAAAGCTGAAGTCAATAAAGAAGAGAATTATCTACTATCATTTTTCTGTGACTAAATTGAATAATCGCAATGAATGTGCTTTATCAAACATATATAAAAAGTAGGCACAAATATAACGGTACACAGATATACTATGTAAAGTCGTAAAGATATACAAATGGAATATTAAACATAAAAATTTTTCTACTTAGAATTATATAATGATAGATCCATAAATACACCACATATGCATATTCACGAAGTTACAGACAAGTACATATAAGATATAATAATAAAATTTTTAAATTCGATTCGAACTTCATTCCAACTTCAAGTTGGAGATCCCTGTCTCTGCTTCTACACATGTTAATGGAGGTTTTTCATTGATAAGAGACGCATAAAGTTCATTCGAACTATAGTCACAGAAAAACGAGCTAAAGATTTAGGTGCCCATGTTGTGCATTATATCGAAAGGTATACTATTGAATTGTCGGTGGCTTTTATCTGGTTTGAATCATATGTCCAATTTAAGAAATTTAGCAAGATATTAAAATAATGGATACACATGGCTTTGAATGCCATCAAATATATTATTATCGATCGAATAGAACGAGAAAATTATGCTAAAGAATTAGCCAATATATGACTTGTTAAAAAACATCTGTAGTGCATTAAAAGAAACGAGAGCGTAAATATATCGAACAATTAAAAAATAACACTAAAAAGCAAGGAAACAAATTTAGTGTTTCATTATGTCAATCAATGATAGATAATACATTGGCGTGATTAAAATTAGTAAAAATAACCTCATAATCAAATATACAAACATTGATAATTTGGTTCATATTTCTTTTTAATCAGAAAAGTTATTTCGATTAAAAAATATTTACGAAGACGATGTTGAATAATTAACAAAAATGAAGAATAATAGCTTTGTCATACTTTCTTATTCATTACAAAATTTATGAATCTCCAACTTTGCAGTCCCCCAATACTAATTAAGTAATCATAATCTATTAAAGTTGTATAAAAATTTCTTTTGTTCAATGCAAAACCAACAGGTTTTAAAATCATTTGAAAACTTCCGAAACTCTCTGAATATTTAAGTCAATGGCGTATCCTGCTATTGGCAAATGCCCACCATTTTTAACGTTATTGCCCATTAGTTTCTTTTTTTTTTGAAAATAGCGATAATTACCTATAGCTATGTACTCCGCTAAAAAGTTTCAGTAGTATGTTGCAAACTACTCAAAAAGCTTACGTATGTCATTTATTCAAGAAAATGTAAGTGTTTTTTTTTCTTTTATTTGTTTTCTTGTATTGCAAAGATAAGCAGATATTAGTAAACTGCTACGCAGAATATAATAGAGACATCTTTTTATTAAAAACCGAACATAAATTACGATTAATTTTTTATCATTCATATTGACATAGACTGTTATCTATAAATACTTTTTCAAAATCTTTATTTTATTGTTTCTAGAAGTATTATTATGTTGAATATTACGGATATTGTTGAATCAACATTAGCTACAACTATATTTAATAATTCAAACAATAAGTATTGTGTAGAAAGATTTTCAATAACAAGATGTTATTTGTTTGGTATTATTTGTATGTTGGCTTATCTCTTTTTAGCATTTTCTCTTTTACCTCAAATTATTCATCTATTTCATTATCGTACACGATATATAGCTGGTATTAGTTATATATGGATTATAATTCGAATATTGGCTTTAATTTTCTTAATAATAGAGGATGCTTTTAAATGGACATCGATATTGAAATTAATTGCATTGATATCAACAATTATAATTTTTTTACAAATCATTATATTTTCAAATAATCTTCATCGACAAAATAAAATTATTTTAATTTTTATTAGTTTATGCATATGGATTATTGGTTTAAGTTTTATAATTTTCTTTGGAAAACAAAAAGATTTGTTTATAAATATTGGTTATATTTTACTTGCCATACAAATATTACCACAAGTAAGAAATAGTTTTTTAGTTTATTAATCGAAATTCTATCTTACAATTTTGTTTGATTAGGTTTTACTTAATTCATTATTAAGAACAACGAAAGCTTTATCAAAATTTTCAATAATTTTTTTAGTGATAAGTGATGGTCTTTTATTTTCTATTGCTCCTACAAATCATTCTCAATTATTGAAATTTATTGCAATCTATTATTCATTTTCATTTTTTTTATTTATTTTTCAACAAACTATGATCTATAAAGATAAACATATACATTTAATATCTCGTTCAGCACATGCTATTCATACACCAGGTGTTGATATATTTACAGGACTTGATATTAATGGAGTACAAAGTACAGGACAAGATCCACAAATGTTTTCAATTGAAGATTTTGAACCAATGGATGGAATGAATGCTGTTTATCTACCAGTTACAACAAATGAATCATCAAAACAAATAGTTCAACAAACATCAATAGAAAAATATGTTTTGTATGCAAAACTTGGATGTATTTTTACTATTGAAACTATTGTTACAATGATACTTTTCTATTATGTTTCGTCTTTATGGATAATATTTGTTCCTATTTCTATTCTTGTCATCGTTTGTATCTTCTTTTTATTGCGTACTAGATTAAGTTCTTCACAAACAGAAAATTTGAAAAAAATTTTGTAATTTCTTATTTCTTATTAATTCATATTTAGCTTGTCTTTTTTTGTATATGTAAACACGAGATAAACTTTGATAATAATATAAAATAATCTATGATTCATCAGTATTTAATATCTTACAGATTTTAGTACAAATTCTAATAAATACTTCTGCTTCGAACATATCATGATCACTGATATTGTTTCGTGTAAAATATGCATTTATACACAATTATTGCTTTACTTAGTGAATACATAAGCAAAAATAAAATTGTATTAATTTAAAAAAGCATCGCTTGAGCAAAAAAATAAATAAACGAAGTTTGAAGATAAGTTTTTGCATCAATCCTTTGATTTTTAAATCTTATAGTTAATAGCGAAATATTTTTAACTGATAAATATCGACTGATTTCGAATTATGGCTAAGAAACTTCAAAATGATCCAGAATAGAAATAAATCAATTAGTCCAAGTTTTGTTGCAACTTAAGAAGACTGAACTTTGCTCTATCTAGCTATGACTGATCGTCTATTTAAATCAACATCTAATATCTTCTATATTATTCTCAGGGTCCTCCCTAAAGAACATCAGTGAATAATCAAATCTTTTGGCATTTATCCTGCGTTGTTCTTACTAACCTTCCCGCACTACTCTGAACTTTCAGTGTTCAAAATTGTTTAAGAAAGAGTCCATGTACTCAAATATACCGCATTATTTTGTATCAAGAATCTGATCTGTTAGTAGGAGGAAGGAGATATTGAAGCGTTCTACAAGAGTTTGATCCTTGCTAGGTGTCATCTGGTTATGCAAGTGCCCTTCTTTTTTCTGAATCTCCTGTATACACGGTTTCTTAGTACTTATTCTTCCTTCGTTTGAAGAAAATTGAAATCTGAAACTCTCAATTAGTGTGCTACAATTATGTCGGGTGTCCAGCACCTAAAACAATTCGGTAATGATCGAGCAATCATTCGATTGGCGTACAGACTACAGGAATGGACGGCAATATTGTTTTACTAAGAGAATTCTTTGTTAATGAAAATTTGTCTACGAATGACGATGAACCATATGACGAAGTAGCTTAACACATGAAGAGAAAAATTAATTATCAGAAAGGTGAACATGTATTATTATTATTATTATCATGGAAAAAACATTCATGTATGTATTTACAATGATGAAGTTTGCCATCAACACTAGATTCCATTTCAGCGTCACTAGTAACAAATAAGCGTATAGTTATTTTATGAAAGAAACTAAATAGTATAGTTTTTTGTATAAAGAAAAGTTTGAAATTCATATTATGACTTGAAAGTATCTACCGAATGTTGATTAGCTTCAGTCCAAGTTTGGGTGCCAAAAAAATTGTCCGATTTCGCTAAACTATTTTATTGAATAAAATCAGCATGAATCAAAATAAAATGATATTCATTATGAAAATAAAATCCTATGAAAAACCAATCTGACGTATACAAAATAAAAATAAAAAAAAAAATTCGCATTTTGTTCTCAATTACTCTCGTTTTGTTTTTTTTATAATAGGCATCATATTATTTGATACAATTAATCGTATACAATGATCATATTCATCCAATTTAGCACACCAACCTCTATTAAACCAAAATTTAGTATTAAATTTTTTACATGCTTCATGTGGTGTTGAGAAGATCAATAATTGTCCAGGTGAAAATGGTTTCATTAATGCAATTGTTAAATCCAATTGATCAACTTTAGATAGAGATGATTGAAAAATATTTTCCCATTTCTCAGCATTCATATACTCATAATGATTAAGTAATAACCATAGAGATCGTAATTGAGTTAATTCATGAAGAAATAATAAAAGATGATCAAATGAAATTGAATCAATAACTAATTTAAGAGAATTTAAACGAAGTGAATATTTTTCAGTAAACGAACCACAAATTTTTTCTGTCCATTGTTTCGTATCATTTAATCCAGAAATTGTTGCTTTAAGAGTATATAAATCAGGTGTATATTGAAGTAAATGTGTTAATTCTTGTAATTGACACCATACAATTGAGAATTGTTTAATATTAGATATTTTATTTACATTATTAAATGTTGTTCGAGAACACATATTCATTTTAACATGTTTTAATCGAGGACTAATGAAAAAATTATTACCAATATTAACAACTGACAATCTTTCGACATCATTACTATCAACTGATAAGCGTATATTAACAAGATGAATGAGATGAATAAGTGCCAGTTGAATAATAGATATATCAGATATTGTTATTTTAATAATCACTAACGTACGCAGATTTTTAAAAAGGCTTAAATCAATAGAATAAGTGTGTAAAAAAAGACTAACTTGTTGATACTAAAATTAAATTTAAGAAAAAGCAAATATTCATTAAAAATTTTCATTTTAATACAATTAAATCGAACCTCATCAGTATCATATGTTCCAAATGTAAATGAAACAAGACGATCAATAATTTTTGGAAGAATATTTTCAACATAAGAATGAAATTCCCTTAGAGTCAAAGATGATATATTATCACGAAAACGCATACGAGAATCATTTAATATTGTATTGAAACGACGATTAAGTCCATGAAATGTTTGATATAAATCAATGGGTGATAGACGATCAAAGATTTCAAAAAAAACCTCATCAGAAAATGTTTCAAGTACAGATGGCATTGAAATTATATTTTCTATTAGATATATTAAAAAAGAATCAATGTAAATAATCAACTGAATATAAAATGAACGACGACATTATACAGGTTGCCAGGGTTAGACAAGAACGAATAGGTATTGGCGTTATAGATTGTCGAATAGATAATGTGATTTCTTCAGGACAACTGGTGTAGAATTTTTCTTATTGCTGAATCGTATCATCAAGCAAACAAATAGTAAATATATTAATGAATCTTTAATTTTTCATATATATCAATGACAAAAGAGAAATGAAACTTGTTTCTATTTGCAGGTTATGCTCATTTTTTTACGATTATTTCGTTTCATTTATATCCTGCAGATGGTGTTAGATAACATCTACTTGTAACAGTATATTGCATGATATTCTAAAGTTTTTACAAATGTGTTCATCCGTATGTATTCAAAATGTTAATAAGATTTCGATAAATAGTCGGATTTAAAAGATTGTAATTTTATATTAAAAGCAAATTAGATAGGTCAAACGGTCTGTCTGATCTGACACAAGATTCGACCTGGCCTGACTGTGACAGGCCCGACCTAAGAACCGTGGTCTTTGTTTGTCACAAGCAAATCGATAATACTTATCTATCTAAGGCAAATAATGCTGCAATACTTCAACAGCGAATTTCATATTTTTTATCATTTTAAGAAATTTTCTTTGCAAATGAAAACACTTATTAAAACTTAGATCGATGGCAATTTCATATTAGCTTCGACTTTAAGAATTATTTGACAGTTCTTTTGAAAGAAACTGAATAATTCTTAAAAGTTCTATTTCCATAAACAGAACAAAGTTGTGTTTGTGTTGGAGAAAGCTCACATAATAGAACAGTTTCGTTACTTTTGCAGGAACAAGATGTTTTCAGATAGTTCTGTTCCATTCAAAAGAACTATTAACATAGATCAGTCGTTATAAAAGGAACCGGGGTATGACTTCTTTGGATCAGATATGGATGTAGATATCAGTAAAGAGAAGAGCCAGGTGGCGTCGAAAGATTTTAGCTACACTGACTAACGCCTGCCGGTGTACCGCTTATAGTAGAGTTTTTTTTTTTTAAGAAAAACAGCTCAGTGTGTAGTAAAACAGATAAATGAAAGCACGGAATTTTTTTTCTTTTCTTTTATTGTCTTATCGTCTTCTTGTTATGCAAACAATCTTGCATTTTTGACAGAAATAAAAGCAAGAAGTATTTATTTTATTACATATTCATTCATTGAGTCATTTGAAATCTTGGATTTGACAAGCCTTTAGAAGATGCTGAAAGATTCTGCTTTACCTATATAAGCCTATACGTTGTGTGAGAAAGTATATCTCTGTAGAAGAATATTTTTGTGCATATTAATAGGAATTACTTACAGATGCTATTTGTTCAGTTTTTCGATATTACGAAACAGCGAAGAAAACCTATGATTTTGGATATGCAAATGTGTTTTCTGTTTCATCACATACTCTGACAATTAATATACTCATTTTTTTTTCTTTTTCTAGATTTTTTTAAAAACACGATGTCTTCAATTTCGATCCTTGAACTATTACCCAATGAGTTACATCTGATGATAGCCAAATATTTAACAATCTATGAACAGTATTAGTCATTTTCTGAATTAAAACATCGTTTCAATCTACTAATCATGAAGTCATTGCCAACCGAAGTTGATATATATAGAAAACGATTATGTAAAGATATTCTAAGATTAGCCCATACATTGATAAAGGAACCAAATCGTTTTTTTATCAATTCTGGATCCACCAAAAATATTTTATGCGATTCCGCAGCTTTCAGCATATGATCGTGGTATTCAATGGACTTTTGTTGATGAGAAATGTTCGCATCATACTGATCTTCAATGTACTGCTTTCAATATAATTTATGAACATCCTGTTGAAATCAATTTATTACTTAAACAAATTTCGTATTATACTCCAATAGTGCATTTATTGCATAAAGATGATGATGAAGGTCTTTATAAGTAGTTTGAAAAATATGAATATCACTCTTACGAACGAGTTAATCCATACTATTATTGTGAATTGAGTTATGAAAGGAGAGATGAGAATCCTGGTTTGCACAACGTGAGTTTTAACATAAACTATTCCCTTTTGAATGAATTAGAGGAACAATGTGAAAAGATCTGTGATCAAATAGAGCAAATATGGATTAAGCTAAGAGAATTAGATGATATTAATATAATAAATCTGATTTAAATTTAAAAAGAAAACTAATCATTTGGCCTTTTGTTGCCTCTTTCTCACTGCAGTTGCATTATACTATAATCTTGACTCTTAAACAAGACTCTCACAAAGAAGTTGATTTTAGTTTTATTACATCGA